ATCATCCTGAGTGAGGTGACCCAGACTCAGAAAGACAAACATGATATGTACTCACTCGTAAGTGGATTAGGAGTAAGTATAGAATAACCAACCTAAAATCCACAGCCCCACAGAGGCTAGATAACAAGGAGGGCCTAAAGTGGGATGCATGGATTTCCCTGGGAAGCAGAAATAGAAGAGTTCTCCTAGGCAAACTGGGGGTGGAGTTTGGGGTGGGGATAGGACTTTGAGGGAGTGGATTGGGCAGGCTGGGGGCCAGAGGCAGATGAGAGGCAAGATGGAGGGAGAGAGTAATGAAAGAGACATCTTGATTTGGCGGGGGGGGGGGTGTCATTTTGGAGAAACCTGTTGCCAGGGAAACCCCCAGGAATCCACAAAGATGACCCAGCTAAGACTCCTAGCAATAGTGGAGAGGATGCCTGAACTGCTCATCTACTATAATTAGATTGGTGACTACCCAATGGTCATCAAAGAGCCTTCATCCAGTAACTGATGGAAGCAGGTACAGAGATCCACAGCCAAGCACTGAGTATACAAGTGTGTGGGGGGGGGTCAAGGTCATGACAGGGTAGGGGGTCACAGAGACAGATGACCTGAGCTCCTGGGAGCTCATGGACTCCGGAACAACAGTTAGAGAGCCTGCATGGGACCCACCTAGGCCCTCTGCATGTGTGTGACAGCTGTGTAGATTGGTCTGTTTATAAGTCTCCGAGAAGTGAAATCAGGACCTGTCCCCTGGTGCTTAGCTGGCTTTTGGGAACCTGTTCTCCATGCTGGATTATCTGCCCAGTCTTGATGTAAGGGAAGGAGCTTGGTCCTGCCTCTACTTGATGTGCCTTGCCTGGTTCAAGGCCAAGGGAGGCCTGCCTCTTTCTGAATGGAGAAAAAGGAGTGGATGAGTAAGGGAGTAGATGGGATGTGGGAAAGAACAAGAGGAGAGGAGGGAGGGGAAACTGGTCAGTATGTAAAAATAAATGAAAAATGTTAATTAAATTTAAGAATTAGGTAAATAATCAAGGCAGACATAATTAAATAAAAACTGATTTACAGGTAATATATGGTATAGAAAAAATATAAAGTGATATATTTCTTTGATATATATATATATCATGTCAAAAATGTAAATAGTAAGCTAGAAGGAAATGCGATGACTTCATGTTAACTGTCAACTTGGAGTCAAGAACGGAGAGACTGGCCCCTGATACCTCTGTGGGAGACAAATAAGTTGACTGTATTAACTGAAGTGAGAAGGCCCACATCGTGGGGGAGACACCATTCCCTGTCTGCATAATAAGAGAAGGGAATTGAGCAGAAGCAAGTATCCATCACTCTCGGATTCCTGGCACTGGACTCAATGTGTCCAGCTGCCCCAATCTCCTGCTGTCTTGATTCCTGCCATGATAGACAATACCTTGAATGGAGAGCTAAAACAAACCCGTTCTTCCTTACAGGCTTTTGTCAAAGTTCTCATGATTCATAAATGGCTTTCATAGGTTGATAGGGCACCAGAAATAGGCTAATTCCTAAAAATTTGTATTTAGACCATCATCTTAGCAAAATATGAAACGGGGACCACCATTTTTGACAGGGCACAAATATATGGACAGACAATCTTTCTTTCCTTCTTCCTTTGTTTTAATTCCTAAATGAGCCTTCTTGGAAAACTTGGCTGTGTGTTAAATATATTTGAGATCATGTGTCCACTCATTACAGGAGATAATTAACTAGGCAGATTCACACAGACAGAAACTAAAATGGATCAGACCAGGAGAAAGAAGGGAGATGGGGGCAGGAGAGATGGCTCAGAGGTTAAGAGCACTGACTATACTTCCAAAGGTCAATTCCCAGGTACCACATGGTGGCTCACAGCCATCTATAATGAAATATGGTGCCCTCTTCTGGCCTGCAGGGACATATGCATGCAGACCACTGTATACTTAATAAATAAATAAATCTTTAAAAAAAAAAAAGAAGGGGGATGGGGCCTGAGCATACCATGTCTTTGTGATACTGAGAACATTCTGGAAAAGGATAGAGGTGATAGCTGCATGACATTATAAATCTACTTAATGTCACAGAATATCTTGCTTAAAATGATTAAAATAGTATTTTTAATTTTATGTATTTGAACACTGTTTTCTAAATCATATGACAATAAAGTTTATTAAATTGTTTCCTACTATTGAAAGCTTAGGTTCTTTCTCCAGTAAAACTGACATTAAAAAATAGCAGCATAGTAGAAAAATAAATAAAACCACATGTTTTCACCCAGTATTTTTACCTTTGGTTACTTATCCTATATACATAATCAATAATACATGTAAAGAAATACATTTTTCTCCATTTCATTGTTCAAAATGGAAAAAAATAAGAACCCTAAGTAACTAAAATTGTGGTATAAAATGAAAAAAAAAAGACAATAATTAAAAAATTATAAGGTAGATATATCTAGAGAGAAAGTGGTTAAAAATAGCATCTGGTTACTGGTGTCCTCAGAAAAAAGAACCCAGGGGAACACATAGGCACTGGAGTCTGCTCTTGTTTTTATGCTTTTTCCTTCCTGGTCAACATTTTTTGGTTTTTGTTCTGCAGTTGAGCAGTAACTCTTTGTCCAAAGAGCGGGACTAACAAAAGCACTGACTTCTGAAGAAAATATCCTAAGTTATCATCCCTTCTTCATAAGTACCACTGATCTTTTGTGTCTCTATGAAACCCCCCTAAAAGTGGGGAGAAAGGAGAACACAGCAAGCCAGAGGCTGTCCTAGGCTCCTTACTCATAGAACCAGCAGCAATGCTTTCCCTGGTCTAAATGGTTAAAAATTCATTCCTGTGGAGTCATCCCTTTGGGCTTTGTAGTGTGCTTTCACTCCTGATAAGGACATGAGTTTGCTTTACAACTCAGGACGCTGACCCTGCACAACGAGGCTGCACATGAAGGGCAGGAAGGACACATCCAGCGACACAGACCCCGCCAAACCCAGACCCAGAACAACCGTGAGGCCTCAAGAAGCACCCAGCGCTGGTAGTTACGAAAAGGCCACGTTAAAGTCCAAGAACACACGTCCCATGCTGACAGTATTTGGGGGCGGCTGTCCTCCACAGTAGGTTATAAATCTAGGACAGGAAACTTGAAATCATTAAAGTCACATATTTATTACATCATATTCAGTTAGGTTAGAAAAATGCAGCATCTGTCATCGTGTCATAAAAAAATGTGTTTTCCCCTCAGATCGCTCATGAAGAAAAGCTCCCAGGATTGATACAGATAGGGCTGTTTTCAATCAGTTACAAGGAACAATTCAATTACTACATGGTTTAGTGCAGTAACTGACTCCAGACTAATTTAATTTCTTTAGGTCTCTAAAGATCAATTGATCTGATTTGTCCCATCCCCAAAGGCTATTTAGGAAAAATTCAGACTTAAATACCTGGAAATGAAATCCAAAACCTGGGCCAGTTTCACACCACTTAGGTCATCTTGCAAACTTTCAGCTAGTCACAGCAGAGCGCTCTCTTGGCCTTAGGACCATCGCGAGCCACTTAGCTTCACAAGCAAGGGAGTGCTCCCACATCAGAGCGCTTATTCAATAAGTGGAAAATGTGGCCACATGCATTATCAAATCTGCTGTTCTAAAGGGCAGCCAGGCTGCTCTCCTATCTCCTGAGCATGGGGCAACTCCAGGACTATTTTTACTCTACGATCAGCTCACAGAGAGCGTTCAGAGTTACTCAGACAGGGTCGAAAGGGTTGGATGCAAGGCTACTCTAAGACGAGAGACTCGGAAACATTTCTGCCCTTTGGGCTTATGTGCACTTTTATAAATGCCACCATCCACAATTCTCTAACCAACCTGCTTTTTGCGACTCTGGCAATAGATGTCCCTTCAACGGCCTAAGGTTTGTCGCTGACTTCAGCACTCCGACCAGTAGTCAGACTCTCCAGCAATTAGTCTTTATTTTTTTAACTCAAGCTCTCGGGCTCCCCACATAGCTTCTACATCCATTCCAAGTATGCCAACCACTCGGTGCTCTGCCACTTTGGCAGGTTTCAGAAGAATCAGACACAAGTTGATAAAGCACAGTTAACCTTTCATTTGAGTTGCCAAGACAGATTGGACAGAGGTGTCAAGGTCAGAGATGCCCATGTGGTAAACAATAAAACAAAAAGCAGAAATGTGTGGCAGTTGGTAGGAGAGTCGCACAAAAATATTAAGATACAGTATAAGTAAGGGGGCTGGTAGCTATGCGGTGTTCCGCCCATTAGCAAACATATCAGACCTAGTATGAAGATGAAGGATAGAAATTTACTGTGTGTAAAGAGTGTAGATAATCAACTGGGTCAAAAATCTTCTCGAAAAAAAAATACATTTCAGCATTCATAACGTGCTAGTAGCTTTGGATCCCGATCACTCCGTGGTGTCCAATGACAACAAACAGCTGTCACTGTGGAGGGGTAAGTTTCACATGCACGGCTGCTTCTTGTCTGCTTCCGGGTCCTCAGACTTGATATTTATTTCTCCGATGAAAGATAGCAACCCACTTTACAGATGAAATTGTGTGGCCTCAAATTAAATGGCATCCCCTTGGTTCAAAATTGTAAATCATCCCTCAGTTCTTTGTGTTACCAAGCACATCCCCCTTCTGAAGGAAAATGGCTATGAAGTCCCTCAGAGTGGCGTTCAGTCAAACAGTGTTCAATTGTAACTAGGACCCACTTTCTGGTCACAGCATACACAGTGTTTCACAGTGGAAGACACAGTCCATATCAAATAAACCTTTTTTCTGGGGAATCATTTGAGAGATCCTGCAGCAGGCGCTCTCGAGACCGAGACGGAGGAGCGGTACATTGACAGGGCTTATGGTTGGGGAAGGAAAGGTGCAGAGACAATGGTAACTACATGCTGTAAAAACATGCTTCGTGGGCGTTAAGAGGCACCTGTTCTTACCACCCACTCTTTTATCTTATCTGGACAAAAGAACAAATAGAAAATTCTCATTACCTCTCAATGTCAGTGAGCCTGGAGGAGTCCCGGAATCCTTTGGCAAACGGATTGCTGTCTATTTTCAGCTTGGTTATCTAGGAAGGAAAAAATGGGGACAAAACGATCTCATTTCAGAGGTCAACGAGACAAAATCAGAAATAAGTTTTTCATTTCCCATAGAGCCCAGTGATCCTGTAAGCATCAGGAGAAGTTTGGGTTTGGGTAAGGGACAAGTCCACAGGTGTACTGGGGTCATGATTGAGAGCAAAGATTTGGCGGCCTTTCAGGCAAGACGGAACATGAAACTAGATTGTGAAGGATTTAAAATGCTAGGGAAAGGTTAGGACCAACTGGGGCAGGGGAACTACCTAGATGGGAGAGTTGTGCAGACCGTGTGTGCTGTGGGGAAGTGAAAAATGGAAGCAAAGATGCTTTCTCATTCTGACTTGGAAGCATGAAACAACTTTTTGTGCAGGTGACTATATACTGTAATAGATAAGAAGATTAAAAGGCTAATTATATCCCATGTTCAACACTGTGCTGATACTGACGTGTTTTATATAAATGCAGGATATGAAGCCTTCAAAGTATCAATGTACTACCAGTATCCTTTCCATTTGCCTAACTTAGAATGGAAACAGTTACTTTGTCAGCCTTCTGTTTAATGTCACTCACATAACTGTGCTCATCTAGAAAGAATTACTTTCTAGTAAGAATCAGTCTCCAATGTTAAGTGTCCACATTTCAGAATTTATAAATCTTGTAGTGTTACTATTAACACTAGACTTGCTGGTAGTTAAAATTGTCTGGAGATAATGGCAGATGCTGTCTAACATGGAGGGCAACATCAGAAGTTCTTGAAGCTTTTTCTCTTCCATGTGAACCACAGCAAGCTTTCTTTGGTTGCAAATAAACCATGCAACAGAAAGAAGTGTCTACACTATGATGGCTGCTTTGTCCTGAAAAGGATTTTGAAAAATTTATAATTGGTTTTCATATTTCCAAGCTTTAAAATTCAGTGGCTTTGAACAATGCAACTTTGGTTAAAATCCTCTAGTGCCCTGATACAAGTAGAGAAATGAATGCCTATTAATGTGTCCATGATCTAATATTATTGTCGTAACTTTGTGCCTGGAAATGAATTAAATACAGCATGAGTTTCTTTATTTCTTAGAATTATCTTTCATTCTTATAATTATCTACCACAATTTTTTTAAACTTTCCTTTTTATAACATTCACTGGTATCAATGATAGCTTTTCTTCTCCACATCTTGATATAATTTCAAGCTTCAGAAAAATTGCAATAGGGCATGGTCCTCTGTATACCTAGTAAAGTACTAATAAAGTACAATGATGATTTAATTTAGAACAATAATTAGAAAGGAATGCAAGACAATTGCCTGATGTTTACCTTCTCTATGGATGAGTTTGACTAAATCCAGGGCGGGGGGGGGGGGAATCACTGATTTTGAGCAGTAGGGGAGAAAAAAAGCTGGGTGAATCTGGGGTTGTGTTATATTTCTCCAGTGAATATAGCAGCACAGAGATTGTAGTTCCCCTTATACCTTATGTGGCTCAGCCCACCTCCAGACCCAAAAGACAACCACAGCAGTAATCCCAGACAGGACTGTTGAGCTTTATGCTAAGGACAAACCACTAAATTGTGATTTAATGATTTTGCAGATTAGGTTAAATTGTGTGTTAACCTAGAATGCTTAAAAAGCATTCTATTTGCTTTGTTTTTCTTTCTTTCTTTTTTTATGGTTTTTCATGACAGGGTCTCTCTGTAGCTTTGGAGTCTGTCCTAGAACACGCTTTTTTAGACCAGACTGACCTCAAACTCAGAGATCTGCCTACCTCAGCTTCCCAAGTGCTGGGATTAAAGGTGTGTTCCACTACCTCCTGGCTTTTATTTCGCTTTCTTATTTAAAGATTAAACAACACACATACATACATATGTGTAAATGAGTGTGTGTGTGTTGGTTTTTTCACACAGAATCTCTCTACATACTCCTAGCTATCCTGGAAATCACTATGTAGACCAAGTTGACCTCAGTCTCAGAGATCAGTCTGCCTCTGCCTCCTGAGTGTTGAGTCTAAGTCTAAAAGTTTGTACCATCATATCCAACTGCAAAATAATTTTAAATAATAAAATTTTTATTTTCTAAGTAACAACAAATTATAAAAAGGTCAGACATTAGTATTTAAATTAAAAACATGGAAACTTGCTTACTAAGGGAAGTCTGACATCTGCTGAAGGAGGCCACTTGACTGCTTGCTCGTTTCCTGGCCATCCAGACCCAGAAATAACCACACAGAAACTGTATTAACTAAATCACTGCTTGGCCCATTGGCTAATTCTTACATATTAATTTAACCCATTTCTAATTAATCTGTGTATGACCATGTATCTGGGGCTTACCGGCTAAAGTTTCGGTGTCCATTTCTGGCTTCTCTCTGACTCCACCCTTCTTCCTCCCAGCATTCATCTTAGTTTTCCCTGTCTAGCTAAGTTCTGCCCTGCTATAGGTCCAAAGCAGCTTGTTTATTCATTAGTGGCAATCACAGCCTACAGAGGGAAATCCCACCTAGACATCTCTTTGTAGAACTGAGGATAATGGAATGACTGTCTGTGAGAATGGATGAGACGAAGTGGCTAAGCACCTGGACCTGCTCCAACAAACTCCACCCAGGAAGTTCGCAACCTGCAAAGCTGCTGCCCTGGTAAGCCAGAGACACTGATCTTTTTATCACTCAAAAACAATTATTTTAAGATTTATTTTTATTGTGTGTGTATGTATGTGCCTATGTGGGTTGACATTTACTACATGTGTGCAAGAGCCTGCAGGAGGCAGACAAAGGTATCTGATCCTCTGGTTGAAAAATGCCAGATGTGAATTCTGGGAACCAAAGCCCAGTCCTCCACTCTGGATCAAGGAGCCATCTCTCTCCTCCCCTGAATCAGCTTTTCAAAGCAGCAAGATTCTTCACTTGGTGAAGAGAATGTATTGACAACTAAGAATAGCACTATGTACTTAAGAAATCCTGCCATGCGTATGTTCATGTTCATGCAAAGACTAGTGTTTTTGCTATCATTGCAATGATGGAGAGTAATGCATGGGAAACCAGAAAATTCATTAATTTTACCATTGCTATTATCTGTAAATAAGTGTACGCACAATTAGAAGGCAGATTTGTGACGCCACCAGCAGTGCATGGAAAGACAGCTTTACAGCGACTGTTACTCTTATCCACTGTCACAACACCGGACTTGGAATCCAGCTGGGGTCCCAGCCATAAGGTAAAATTGGCCCTTGGAGACCATTTCTCCAATTATCAGGAGGAGGTCTGACCAAAGGCATTTAGAAATGAAACCTGACCTACACTTCAACTCCACAGCAATGATCTGCCAGCTCAGAAACAATGCATGACCTTTAAATCTTAAATTATAAAATAGTTTGTTGAAAGTATAATGTATTTAGCATTTATCCAATAATGTAAAGAAATGCAATCATCCCCTTGCAAAAAGCAGAAGAAGAAATGGGTGAAAAGGTCCCATTTTCATTAATTTTAAATAAAACTACCGGCGTCAATAAGTAAGAAGGGTTCACACACACACACACACACACACACACACACACACACACACTCACTCACTCACTCTTTGACTTGAATTTATCAGACATAAAAATAATAGTTATGTCAAATTTAAGACAGAGGGAAATGGGTCCAAGTGGAAACTTTTAATCCCTCCCCCTTCTCATCTTAGTTCTTCATGCGTGGAAAACTTTTTGTTGATGCTATACACACTATGTATTTCCTTTGTATCGTGTTTATTTTTGTGTGTTTACTGTAGGTAAATGAGTACACGCAGTGTGGCAATGAAAAAGCAGCTGACTCCAGGAGCCCTGGAGGTGAGGTAGGGAGAAGACAGCACACCACCCACTGAAAATGGCAGTTCCTGAACTGGTTTCTAAAGAGGCCTGGGTCAGCTTTATTTGCTGAAGGAAATCTATCAGCCAGTTGTGCAAACGGTCCTGCTATATGAAGCCACATCTCTGGATGGTTTTATGCTAACGATGGCATTGAGAGTGGATTACAGAAATAAACCCAGGAGTCTGAGGAGGAAGATGCTTCTATTGTGGGCTATTCCATGGTGAAATGGTCTACTAATTCTATTAATCTTTAGACTTTATGATACAATCAAAGATTGATGGGTTCTTGGGACTGAATTTTGAACCCACTTGTTCTTTTGATTAGAAAACTAAACATTAGCGAGAGGAGTAATGAATGTTAGAATCTGCATTAGTTAGCAATAAAATATATATTATTTTAATATAGTGGCATTCTCAAATTCAGCTTTCAAACTATTGATCTTGGAAGTGATTACTTTATTGCTTGCAATCCAACCCAAACGGAGGAGTTAGGACCCAGAAGGTCAAACCTTGACAGGCCTGGCACTTATCAAATATGTAGCCATGAGTGAGTGTCCTAACCACTTGGAACTTCAGTTTCATTATCTACAAAATGATACTCACCGGACTCCCGTGAGGGATTCATGTCAGAATTAAATAAGATTATTGAGAAAAATATAGAAGGATTTTTCTGAATTAAAATAACCAGCCTAGACAATGAATCTTAGTTGGAGCTTAGTACAAGAGGGGAAGAAACAAAATCACAATGGGCACTAATGGGCCAACACTAAAATTTAGATGAGCTGACATCGTTTGAAAGGAAAATTTCTAATAGATCTTCTGGGCTGTCTTAAAGACAATATGGTCACAACAATAATATCCTCACCGTGGGACGGTGCTTGCTGGATGGAGTCAGCCTCAGTCGATGAGACTAGTATCTTAGTTTGGATTGGCAGAACAGTACAGACAGGGGAAAAAGGAGTAGACAGAATGAAGCAAACTTGGTAACGGTTTGATTATGAAGCCTGGGTGGAGAGTGCATGCAGTTCACTTGACCATTTGCTTATAAGACTTTCCTTCTGACACTGAAGTATTTCTGAGTAAATAGGTTAGTGAAAAAATAATCCCATGAGACTATCAAACGGATGGGCATGGTATATCTTTGCTAAAGTGAGCCGAGCAGACTCTTGGCCCCCTTGTTGAGGATAGTAACCCTCACATCATACTCACTAATATCCTGTGTGAGGACAGCCCCACACAGCCAAAAACCAGTGAGCGTGTGTGTGGTGAGGGGGAACAATAACGTAAAACCCTCTGGGAAAGATGTCTGAGGGTCCACCAGGGTCAGAAGCGGAGAGGAAAGGCGTCCTGCCCCTCTGACACTCAGTTTAGAGATCAAGGACTATAATAACTATAACTGCCTTGCTTCAGATCCACGATGGGCACAGCAAGTCACCTCAATTTCCCCCGCCGTGTATTGCATAATAAACTACTATTTCTCTGATTTAATAATATTCCTGCAAAGAGTAGATAAAATCAGTCCTTTAAGTGGCACTTTGTACAATAGCAAGCGCCAAAGTCTAGCCACCTTTATGTAATCTATGCGCTGTGGCAGAAGGCCTGCTGGTGGTTTTTTAGGATGTCTCCTTCGCCTATCAAAACAAATCTAAGGTATTGCACGTGGAAACTTCCCTCCATATTGGTTCTTATTGCGTTTCTGTTTAAAGAATGAAACTTGTAATTTACTTTTTCTAACTTTGTCCCTCTTAAAAGGGAATTCTGAGAGCAGCTTTGAAGTTTCCACAGGACAAGTTTTTACTTCATCCCAAAACATCAACAAGGTTTTGAAAAGTGTTATACAACTAGTATTGGATCATAAAGTTACACATTCACTTGGTGGAAATGAACTTAATATTTCTCGGAACCTGGGCGAGCCACGTTCTACATGCTTTCCACAAGTGTGGTTGTGGCTTCAAAGATCAAGCTCTTCAGGGCTTTAGGATGCTGTGGACTTTGATCTCTTCACAAAAGTTTTAGTTGGATATTCTCTGAAAGTCTCTCCTTTTGTGCTATCATTTTGGAGAACAAAGAGGTGACACATTGTTTATATCATAAGGTGATTTACATAACAACTATGCATTGATTTATCTTAGCAAATATGCCAACAAATTTTTAATTTCATTTATTTATTTAAGTGTGGGTGTGTGTGCGCGTGCGCGTGCATGCGTGCGTGAGTCCATGTGTGTGTGTGTGTGTGTGTGTGTGTTTTCTAGGGATGCCTCTACCTGTTGAGCCGTCTCCATGCACAATCACTGACATTTTAAAGTCCAAGTGTGGATAAGCACTCTTGGCACTCCTGAACAGTCCAACATTGCATTCACAAGACATGTTGGTACACATCGTCCCATCATCCGTGGGGCACTGCAGTCTCCAAATACGGTCTGGTTAGTTCATAGCCCCAGTTTACAAGCCAGGGAAATGGCAGCGATAGCTGTGAACGGAACACGAGCCTTCTCCACCCACTCTGGCCATTCTTAAATACTTCTTCTGTCTGTCCCTACTTCTTTTTCTTTTAAGATTTTAATTTCTTTTATGTACGTGAGTGCTCTGTCTGTAGGCATGCCTTTACACCAGGAGAGCGCCTCAGATTCCACTATCAATGGTTATATACCACCATGTGGCTGTTGGGAATGGAACGCAGAACCTCTGGAAGAGCAGACAGTTACTCTTAACTGCTGAGCCATCTCTCTAGCCCCCTTCCTGCCTTCTTATTTGCACAGGACTTCCTCTGCTTTCAGCTGACTCCTGACTTCCCAGAGCCTCTGGATCTCCTCTGCCTACCCACCCATGTTGGATTCTCAGCCAGCAGGCAGTATGATTGTTTTCCATTACAAACCTACACCAACAGCCCGCCAGGAGGAAGGCAAGCACTAGCTACTTATTGCTAATCAAACAAAAGCGAGATGAAGAACTCTGAACAGCCACATTGTCAATTAAACTAAAGGTGTGAAGACCTTTTATTGTGTGCACTCAAGGGAATTCTACTTCCTGCTTTTTTTTTTTTTTTTTTTGTGTGAAGACCTTTTATTGTGTGCACTCAAGGGAATTCTACTTCCTGCTTTTTTTTTTTTTTTGACTGCAGAAAAGTTTCTCACTCTTCCTTCCCCTCAGCTTCCTGGCCATGCCATTCAGCTTCAGTATGATGCTACAAACCTGTCAGCATTCTGCTGACCATGAAAGAATAAAATGTTTGAGCTAGTGCCTAACAGCACTCAGCCTTAGTGGGACAATGATAAATATTTACTAAGACTAAATCTTATGCATGAGAATAATAGTCCAGTTGGAAATATACTGAATGACAGAGAGTAGAAGATAGGGCCTGATGTTGTGAGCTGGAATCTTGACGGCAATGAAATATCCGACTGAAGCTTTTTATTTAAAGAGCCATTCACAACCATTTTCCTTATCCTCAGTTGTGGCTAAGCTAGTCTCACAAAATTCCTCAAGTGTTAGTCATTTGGGCAGCTGTCTACAAGGTTTGCATTTGTTAGGAAAACAAAAAGAGCATGCTTGTGCAGGAGGAGGAACCAGTATCAGGGAGCTCCCTGTGGAAGGTACACTGGGCTGGATTCAGGTTAGGGCTCAGCTACCAGACAGCCTGTATTACAGAACACAGGTCCTAGAAGATAAGATGATGCAATACATGGGTCCCTCGGTACATTATGCTCTGATGCTGATGTTCAATAGCTCTCTCCAAAGAAACTTCCGCTCTGAGTACAAGGAAACCCCTTGTGCAGGAGCTGAACTCACCAGCTGGTTCTGGTAGGCAGTGACTGCTGTGAAAACCGTCTCTGGAAAGATGAACGTTCGGAATTCTTCAGACTTCAGATTGAGCAGGGAGGCCGTGTGGTCCTTCTTCTTTATGATGTGCACCCGTGGCTGGTACTTATGCATTGAATTCAAAATGATCTACAGTGAAGAGATGGGATGTCCTGAGTTTCACAACCTTAACCCATCCATCTACAACTTCAAGTTCAATTCTAAGAGTAGGAACGACACTTTCCCTTCTGTCAAGTCATTCTCATACAATTAGGGTCATAGAGGCGAACATTTCACCAGAACAACGGCAAATCACAGGAGCCATCTTCCTGGAGGCAGGAGAGAAGGCATTTGGAGACATGCTGCATGTATTAGATTGAGTGTGTGTGTGTGTGTGTGTGTGTGTGTGTGTGTGTGTGTTTCTCCAGGTGTTCCTGTATGTGGACACATGCGTTCATGCACATGGAGGCCAGGTTGAACATTGGGTGTTTTCCTCAGTCTCTTCCTCTGGGCAGTCTCTCACTGGACCTGGAGTTCACTGACTAAAAGACTGGCCAGTGAGCTCCAGGTTCCAAGTGTCTCCACCCTACAGCAGCTCTTGCTGAAACCTGTCTTTTGTGGTGGTGCAGAGAATCCAAACGGAGGCCCTAATGCTTACGTGGCAGGCATGTTACCAACTGACCCATCTCCTCGGACCAAGTCTTATTAAATTTTCAAAATCAATCCTTGGGCCAGTGAGATGTCTCAGTGGGCAAAGACACTTGCCCCCAAGTCTGATGAACTGGATGTGATTCCTGGGAGCTACATGACGGGAGGAGAGAACAGACTACTGGAAGCTTTCTTCTGAGCTTCATACGTGCTCTGTAGCATAAATGCACACATACATACACACAAATAAATAAATAGATAAATAAATAAATGCACTTGAAGATCTGGAGATATGCCTCAGTGGTTAACAGCTCTTGTTGCTCTTGTAGTATGGCAAAACACTCAAACACATAGCATAAACGAATTAAAATAATAATGTCTATTTATTTACTTACTTATTTATTTATTTATTTATTTTAAATATGTATGCCTACAGGCCAGAAGAGGGCATCAGACCTCATTACAGATGGTTGTGAGCCACCATGTGGCTACTGGGAATTGAACTCAGGACCTTTGGAAGACAAGGCAATGCTCTTAACCAATGAGCCATCTCTCCAGCCCCAAATAATAATGTCTTTAAAGATTTTTGGGTTTTGGTCTATTCAGTTCATAAAATGCATGTTTACATTTTCTAAGTAAAAAACAATATTTTGTAGGCCAGACTGCTATTTACAGAGGGAAAAAAAGTAAAATGATTTAGAAATACAGGCATGCGCACAAACAGAATATTGTATATATAATAAATAAATAAATAATTAAAAAAAAAAAGACTGTAAGCCTGTAAGGCACACAAAAAAATAGGAATTGTTCAAAAATGGAAACTATTTTTTGAAAAAGAAAAATGACAATTCCTTTGACCCCAACTTCCAGTTGTAAAACTAAACTTTACCAATGTCATGGCCATCTTCCATGCTGCAGCTACCAAAGTTGCAAGTTCGCAGTGATGGTAAACATATCTTGGTTAAAAGGGCAGCTGAGAAATAGCACTTTTATTTATCCTATAACGAGCGTATAAATATTTTGCCACTGTGCAAAATGAACGACAAAACTTGTTAGTACTTGTTTGCTCACAGATGTGTTTGTTTCCAGGCAGGGTTTCACTTTGTACCCCAGGCAGGTCCTGAAACCTTGGCAACTTTCCTGCCTCTGCCTCTTGAATGCTAGGATTACAGTTCTGAGCTACCACATTTGACAGAACAAAACTCATTTTTAGGTATAAAATGTTTCCCACGTGTCTCCACTGACAGACAGCTACTTAAATGTACAAAAGCCTTTTCTGGAATTGGAGGTTCAGCTGGATCCTCTCAAACACCGTGCAAAGCCCCTGGCCTCAGGAAGCACCCCATAAATGGTACTTTGGGGCCAATAGGTCTTTGTTATGTTGACATGGTGACTGAAGGGTCCCTTGGTTTCTTGACTAACATGGATGGATGTGGTGAAGTGAGGAGAGTTGCTGCTGAGTGTGCTTACAAACTCTCCACAAAATACTGTGGATAACTGATATGTGGCAACATCTGCATCTTTGGGTGATGCCCCTGCGAATTTAAACAACCTTAAACAGGGCCAGGCATGGTGGTGCATGCCTTTAACCCCAGCTCTCAGGAGGCAAAGGCAGAGATAGGTGGATCTCTGTGAGTTCAAGTTCAAGACGACCCTGATCTACATAATGTGTTCCAGGGCAATCAGGGCTACATGGAAGAAACTCTGTCTCAAAAAACAGGAAAGTAAATAAAATAAAATAACAACCTTAGATAAAAAAAATATTGTGCCTATACTAAACATACATACTTTTTTCCTTGGCTTATTCCCTGAATGATTCAGCCTGTTAACTATTCACATAATACTTGCATTAAATATTACCAGTAACCTACATAGCACTCACAATATAGAGGAAATTATGTGTCAATAGTGTCCTGTTTTATTGAGTGACTATTTTCGGAACACCTTAGAAACAATGTCCACAGAAATGAGAGCATAGCTGACCACATAGTCAGTGTCTCTCTGCCAGTCTCTCTGACTTGTAAATCAACCTCGAGTTATTAAATAGGATTGAACTTTGTACCTGCTACTCTTTCTAGTCTCAAACCAGAATAAGAACAACTAAGGAGAAAGAGATCTTCAAATGTATTAAAATAAGTTTTGAAGAAGAACCTCATTTTTCTGTATAATGTACTTCCTCCAAGGAGTCCAAAACAATGGGACTTGATCATAGACCTGGATTCAACTTGAAGTAATAAAGGCAAATATTTGTCTCCTAATATAAAATGTCTTTCAGAATTCCTTATATGTTCAACTGAGAAGATAAGAGCATTCAAATAACATTCCCACTGACCCACATGTATACATACCGAAATGAGATCAAAAAAAGCAAACAAAAACAAAATCAAACAAAAAATCCTTCAATTTAAATAACACACCCCTCATACTCCTAAGCTCCAGGCTGGCTTCATTTAGTAAGGGGTGCTGAATAACCTCAGACTTCAAGGCCTGCTGACGCTCCTCCAGACCTCACAGAGCTGAGAGCCAACATAAATGCACACTCGGCTTTCCTGAGAACATACCTTCCTGGGAACAGTGATGTTCCTGTCAGCGACTCAAGAGTACTTGTGTGTGTGCGTGAGGGGAGGGGGAGCGAAGGAAGAAAAGACGGGGAGGAGAGAGGTGGGATCTTTGGGAGTGGATAAGGAGCACTTGTTGCTCTTCCAGAGGGCCTGGGTTCAGTTCCAAGCATCGACATGGTAGCTAACAACTGTCTATAAATCCAGTTCCAGGGGATCTGACACCCTCCCACAGATAAAACATCAGTGCACATATATTAAAAATAAATTTAAAGAGAGAGAGAAAGTTCATCAATCTGATTCCACGAAGCTGGCTAAATAATGTATTACCTAAAGGCCCTTCTTACTCAATTTCTGAGGTTATTAATTCTGGTGACAAAGGGAAATATTAAATCAGACAAGTTTTGAGGCTAGAGTAAATATAAGCAGCCACTGAAAACTGAACAATTGACAAGATCTAACCGCCACACAATTGGGCTAGATCTCAGAACCCTTGAAACTGATGCTAAAATAAATCATTTAAATTCTGGGTAAATAATCTACCATTGAAGTCTAAAGTTTTTCTGAAGAATCCTAAAGAATTCTAGAACTTTCACATGTAGAAAATGCAACAGAATTTTCTTTTTAATTGTACTTTCTCTCTGCAAAGATTCCAGTCAGAACCTAAAATATTTTAATTTGAATCACATTAAATAAGATGGATGACTAGCCTACAAAGAATATCTCAGATAGTTCATAAATCTTAATCTGACAAAAAACCCACTGAGTGGAAGCATCATCTATTTTTCTTGAAGGGCAAATTAAGCCAACACTGAATAGGCTATTATCTTTCCAAGAGGTGAAACAACAGAAGCTCCTTAACCCATTTCCAATGTCTCTCCAATGCCACCCACAAGATACATGGTCACCCTGATGTGATTATAGTAAGCACAAGGATAGGGACACCAACTCAAGTCATTGGTTTAATTCTAGATTCAGTTGAACTCTCTGAAACCGTCTCTAGAACTCTCTCACTTATTTTCCTCCATACTTCACAGATCCAAGAAAAACTGAGCCTTAAAGTCACAAGAACCTTATTTAGTAAAAAGATAAGAGAGATTATAGATTACTATATAACTATAATAATTATCCAAGGAAAGAAACTGTGAAAGAAATCGTGTGCTTTCCAACAATGAAGGCAAAAACACAGAAACAATATTTTCAAAAGAAGCATGCTTGTCTGCCTTGAGTTTCTCACATAAAATCTAAGAGAATTTTACATCTATTTCTACTCAAGAGCATTGAATCATAGGGGCTTGGGCAGTGGCCTAGTGAGTAAGAGTGCTTGTCCTAAAAGCAGAAGGTCCTAAGTTCAAATCCCCAGCATCCACATAAAAGCTTGTGTATACCTACAACCCCAGCACTAGGGGACAGGAAGAGGAGGATCCAAGGAGCTCAGTTGCCCACTAGCCTGACTGAGACATCAAGCTTTGACTGGGGGAGAGATCCTGTCTTAATATAATAAGGAGAACAGAGGTAAAGGAAGACACCAGATGCCCACCCAGCTCTGTCCTTGGCATGCATGGCATGGGGGCACACACACCTACAGACAAATGTGAACACAAGGACACACACATGTGTACACATGTGCACACACACACACACACTCCTACACAGGCACACACAGGCACAGGAACATTCAATCACATCAAAGACAAAGCCTGATAAGGAACGTAGCAAATGGCAAGGGCCCTTTTATCAATGGTTATTTGCTCTATCAAATACTGATAGAAGCTCCGAGCTATATTTTCCCTTGGTCCAACAACCAATAACACTTTTTTCCCATCTTACAGTGAAGTCTTTACCTACACCAAATAAAATGTGTTTTGTTTTGGTTTGGTTTCCTTATTGAGACAAGGATTTGGTCAGGGCGTGTCTCTCGGACCAAGCTGCCTCCTCCTGGCTTCACGTCCCCTGGAGAAACGACAGGTGAGCAGCATGTCCTCTGCTCTGTTCACAATTACAAATGTTGTCTGTCTTCACACTTGTGCACCTTGCCCAAAGGGCAGGCAACCACCGCAGCCAGTGCAGCCAAAACTAAAACTTTTCCTGGAAGAAAAGAGTAATGGCAGAGCCTGCAGGAACACACAGACTCTGGGTTCCTTCTAGGGGGAAAAGAGGACAACTTTATTCTACAATTTGGTGTATTTATTTGGTGCAGGGCAGTGTCACTGGGAGTGCCAGAGCTCCTCATCCAGAACCTTAGCAGTCACAGGGCTCTGAACTCCCTCTCAAGCACTTCCTCTGAAAGACACACCTGCTGGCAGGTGGGTGTTTTCCTCCTGGCTCTCCACGGCCCTGCTGTTTTCCCAAGGAGACTTGTGAATGTCAAAGGGAAGATTAACTGGGTCAGAGTTTGCCCTAGGTATAGGGTTGCCCTTAATAATTGCTGTAGAGGCTTTCGCGGGTCTGTACAGCTACATACATGAATCAAAGCTTTGTGGGATTCTTTGGAAATGAGGTCCTCTCCACTCTGCTGCAGGTGCAGCGTGCTGCGCTCTGCAGAATGCACTTAGGAGGCTCCCACAGGAAGTCTTGGTCCTACTTTTTATGTGATATCAATATACTAACATCCGTAACCCAAAAATGTGTTTGATGGCCTCCCTAAACTCACATTTCCTTTGTCTTGTTAGAAAATGTGGTGGTGTTTGCAAACATATTAGGAGATCCTTGGCACAGAAGGTCTCAGACCTCTTTGTACAAACAGTACAACACAGCATCCACATGACTGGCTTTAACAAAAGCAGTCAAGGTCCCCTGGAGAACATGAGTGTTCTCATACAATGACTCCTAGATGGATAGAAGGAAGTTTGAAAAATTGGGAGAGGAGAAGGGAGAGGGAGGGGAGAAAGGATATTTTATATAACGTGTCCATTGCATCTAGGGGAAGCTGCAGATGCAAGGCTCTGTACTTACATGTCCATGTTGATCGAGTTCATTGTTGGTGAGTTTCACCTTTTCAAAAGACACCATCTGTTTGAGGAGCTGCTCGCCAGTAAAGGGGGAGTCTGGATGCACATAGAGTCTAAGAAGAGGATTGGAGAGCTTTATTGAGGTGTGCTTTAAGACTCCCTCTTGAACTAAGCATATTGGCTCATGTATCTATCATCTCCGCACTCTGAAGGCTGAGGTAGAATTAAGAGTTTGAAACCAGCCTGGAATGCATAGTGGAATCCTGAATCAAAATACAACAAAATTGGGTCCTTATTCTAAATGTTTTTATTCTAAAGGAACACAGAAACGTCATGTAAATGGCACTTTTCATTTTTCCCATGTACCTTGAATTTATTAAAATAGCAATGCTAAGATAACTCCAAAGCATCTAACAAACTTATGCATGTCCCAGAGACCTTAGAAGTAATAAATACATTTTCTATTATCTGCTGAGCAAGCAATTTTTCAGGGATGAATTATTTCTGTCTTTTTTTTTTTTCCTTCCACTCTACTGGTCTACATCTATCAAATACGTGATCTTACTATTAGAGGATTTAAAAGACCTGTTACAGCAATGTGTACGTTTCTATATAGGCATTACTGTAGAGCAATGAAAAAGAAACAAGTTAAATGAGGAAATAATTTCAGAGAATCAACTCGTTTAAATTCAAAAGTGACTTCGTTTAATTTACCAATACAAGACTGTTGAGTTTTCAGTATAGGACACAGCAAATGTTCTCTAGTGTACAGATCAGAGCTGAGAGCTTACTGCCCTGCCTGCTCTAAACTCCACCACACAGCTTCGTTGCTATCTGGCTATGCACTGCTAAAGGAGAGTTTTAACAATCTAAATGAACCTCTGTCTATTAAATTGATTCATTTATAAAAAAATTTAGGCAATAAAAAGCTTTGGCAAGGAAAATCTATCGTCTATTGATTAGCTGCTGTGTGGAAGGAATAAACTCCCTGTAGAAGAAAGGCTAGCCTTCCCTCCATCCCTGCCGCCACACCAGCTACAGCACTGTGTACAGTGTACACCTGAACACTGCTCTCTGCATCACAAAATCTTTCCAAATCGACGTGAGATGGCAGAAGACTGAGAAGGAAGGCGACATCCTCTTTTTCATTTTCCCCTTCCTTCTTCTTTTGTTTTCTTTCTCTTTCTTCTTTTGTTCTTTTGTTGTTGTTTGTGTGTTGGGAATTGACCCTTGGGCTTGATGCATGCTAAGCTCACGTTGCATCAGGAGCCCTGACAAATTCCTTTACCCGTGTGTCAGCTTTTATATATATAAGTTTTACATACCATCCTTCGAGCTGGAATTTGTGAACAGTTGTGCTGGGAAAAGGTCATAGAGCAAACATTACTGGCAATATTTGGGTAGAGAATGAGAAGTCTGTGTCATGGTCTGCCATACAGAAAGACTATAAATGGAAAGAATCTGTCTCCTTGGTGAAAGAAATGATACAGTGGGAAATGAAGCACAGTGAGGCTGGCGGGACCAGGGGTCCCACCCCACCCACAGCGGACTGTCTTCTTGTATTGTCTTCCCCCAAAGTGTCATAATTGTCTGGTAAATAAGAGTAGTCTTTGATAGCTTGAATATAACAGCATGTCAAGGTTTATCTCTCCAAAGGTATAATTTTAAAAATACTGTTATTTTATTGATCAGCCTCACATTGCCCTTCTCTCCTAGAATTCCAATTTACTAAAAGATCTAGAAATTGATGACATGTTCCTCCTTTACCATATTCACTATATGTAATCACATTAGCATAGATATGAACTTGTGTAAATATAAGTTACAGTAGTGGTGTGGAACTGGAGCATTACTTTGGTCATGAATAATGCTGTGCCTGTTATAACTACCAGATAATATTACCAAGTATTGTGCTTCCTGATTAGAAATCACTGGCTTCAGTCTGAGGAGGGAGAAAGGCATCTTTGATGTAGAAGTCTCTTAGAAACTGACTTTCTACCAGTAGCTCAAGCATTCCAATTTCCCAGATTCCTTCCTCTATGGAGGTGGGAAATCTGGAAAACTATCTTCCATAATAATAATAACAACCAGGAATATCCATGAATTATCTGAAATGTCTCCATTTCATGGTTTTATCTAATATTAGTTTAAATAAGCCAAGCTGGGATACATGGAACAACTTACAGGAACTTCCCCCTCCCTCACCGCCTCCCTCCTTCCCTCCTCTCGACCTAAAATTCCAGCAATAGCTTACACAAGCTTCAGTTAAGATAGCACACTGGTAGGCACTTTTCTTTCTCTAACCAGAACAGATTAGAGGCATAAACAAGCATGTCATATTTATGAAGTACCGCTGGCCTGCAGCATTTGGCCATACCTTCAGAGAGGAAGAAAATGAGGGATAAATAAGAAGAAAAGATTAAAGGGAAAAAAAAGGCTAGAGAAAGCAAAAGCAAATGTGTGCTCAGAAAAATGGTTAGAAGTCTGCTCAAATTCATATCTGCCCCCATTCTCCTTTCTCCTTGAGATCCATGTTAAAAATAAATTAGAAGCTGAGCATTTGTGAGCCCGTCATAATGGAATCAGCTGGATGCTGCCTCAGGAGGACCATGAGTTTGAGGACAGCCTGAATTACATAAGACGGGGTCTCCAAAGAAAAACAGTTTTTAACTGAATTGACTTTTCAGAAGTAAATTATAGAAAACGCCAATTCTATTGATTTTAATATCTGTTATGAAGGATTGTTTTTTAATTTAGAAGAACAAAATGCCATTTGCAAGTATTTCTTAGTCCTAATTGTTCAATATGCTGACTTGGAAGCCTTGGAAGGCAGTCTTCCTCGCCTGTTTTAAGAACAGAGAGCCAAAGAGGGCTGTTATCTGTTTTCTGGTGCTTTGAACAGGCTGCCAGCCCAGTAGTGAAGCAGAGGCTCCTTCAGGACTGCGTCCAGCACCCCGCTGAGTCCGTGGTGGCTGTGGCTGTGGACTGAATGCACACCAGCCACACCTGCAAGGGTTTTAAACCTGATTGTTGAAATACGTGTGTTGGCTGTGATCTAACTTTCAATCCAATACCAAAGATCAGTCAGGAAACAAGCAGTTTCTTATGCAGAACAGCGGAGTCAGCGCACGCAGTGTCCTGTATAGTAAGAGGAGTTGCTACAGCGGCAGACTCCTGTTACTCTGGCTCTTCTGCTGCTCCTCCTGAATACGCCTCTGAGGAAAACGCTCATGAGAAAGGTTCATAGGAATTTTTGACAATATTATCAGCAAAGGCAACCAAGAAAACAAGCTGCATTGTCTCCCATATATTAGCTGAGTTTGATGTAAAAGAATATTAACTTATTGAATTATGTTTATCCATCAAAATTGTGGAAGGGCAAAGAAATTGTTGTCCTTACCTAAAACTTGTGGCTCTTGCATGGCTCAAAGACAACCAGTTTTACCCAAATGCCAGTAGGTGTATGCAGATATAATCACGTTGCTAAGAAATGGTTAAAAGTGTCATAACTATAGTATACACATGAAGACCCAAGGGCAAATAGCAGTGCATTTATATATTCTTACTCAGCACCCTATCAGCAATATTTTTATATCTCAAAAAGGTCACATTTCTAAAAAAAAAATTCAAACTCAAATTTCACGAATATCTGGAATTAATTTTGAGAGATAAAGGCAATGTTTTCTCTATGCACAAACTTCACTTTTCTTGAAGACTAACCTACAAGTTTTGAATTCAGTTCTGCGCTGTCCTGGCTTGGAAATCTCTCAAGTCAGAGCCCGGTGGGTAAAAACAACTTTCCTAAATTTCACATAAATCAGAAGGATTAATATCACTTTGATCTGCAAGAAGTCCAAAGTCACGAACCTGGCTGGCAGAGGAGGATCAGCCTTGCCGGCCACGAGCCACGAGGACCGATGGTAGGCATAACGATACCTCTTGTTGTCCACCGGGACGATGTCCATCAGGACTATGTACTTGGCCTCAGGATCCACTCCAGAAAATGACACGCGGATGGTGGGGAACATCCTCCTGGCAGAGAGAGAGAAACTGGATTCACTCATTGTAACGAGTTGACACGAATTAGGGAGAAAGGAAGAAAACTGGAACCATCCGCTATGTAGTGCCCGATTTCCCATTTGGTTGTTGTTGGTTTTGTTTGTCCTGTTTATGAACCCTCAGAGATGTGCCTACAGAGACAGGACTTGCACTGCAAAAACAAACAAAAAAACATTCTGTCTCTTTTACAGAGGCCCCTACCGGTAGATAGAAATTTTGAGCTTATTTTCTCCTAAATAACCAGAGATGGGTTGTATAACCCATCAAAAATCCCGGGCATTCCTGAGCGAGGGGATTCGTGGAGTTCACTTCCAAGAGTCCCTACTGGAATCGCCCAGGGTCTGGCTTAGAGGAGCAGCCCGCCTCCTGTGCTCGGGTCCACCTCCCGGCCTTCTCCTTACTCCTAGTTCTGTCTTCCGCCCCGGTTTTCAACTGAGTTTTTATTGGAAGCGGGAGACTCTATTAAGAGTCATACCGCTGTCTCTTAACAGAACCTTTAGATGTTTCTGTTGCCCAGTCTTCGCTTTAGTTTAGTTATATATTGCACACCGGGGAACCTCTCCTTCCCCCTCCTGCAGTCCCCAGCCGAGCTCCGGCCAGCTGGGCCTTTATTGGAACCCAAGATGCCTGGGGTGGGAGCAAAGACGACGCTGTGGGGAAAGATCTCCATCTCCGGATTTGGAGTCTTGAAGCCACACCCTGCGATTGCAGGACGTACTCTAGTACCGAGAATCTTTCTAAGGGAACTGATGAGAAGCGGAGGCCTCTGAGCTCGGTCACCCCTCATACCCACGGCCCCGCAGCTCCCATTCAGACCCCCGAGAGCGCGCAGTGTGACAACCCATTTGCTCTGCATGCTCCCGCCCATGCCAACTACCTTCCCGACTTGGTGATGATCATCTCCGTGCCCAGTTCGTGGAATTTGTCCCAGAGCTCCTTCGTTTCCAGGCTACAGGCGATTTTAGCCATCTCCTCGCTGGGGATGATGGGGGTGGTGGGAATCAGTGGCTCGGTGCACAGAGAGGATGAGGAAGGGCTTCCGCCCCCGTTGCCGAACTCTGAGTGAGCCTCCAGGCTGGTGAGCTCACCCAGGGGCTGGGCACAGGACGACTTCTCCACGAATTGTTCTGGAGGCAATGAGAAGTAAGATTGACTTGCTGTCACTTAGTTAACAACAGACACTTTACAAAGGAGCTGGGCAGAGTACCCAAGAAAGGCACTTGGTCTCCGCTAAACTCCACAACTCCAGCAAAAAAGCACAATCCACCACAGGACAAAAAGTACCTGGGGTGTGCATGCCTGGGGCTGGACGCTAACGGAATCAAATGAGGAGGGTCTGTCTAGAACCAGGGCCGATCACTGAGCTGCCTGAAGCTACCTTAGGAATAAAATATGAGTGAGGAAAAGAAAAAGTTGTGATCATGAGGGATAAAATGTTAACTGTTACTCCAGTCATCCCAAATTCTAGGCTCTGCAGCTACAGAGGGTAGCATTAGAAACCAGCACCCAGTTTGTTAAATCACAGGAGAGGGCTCTAACAGACTTGGTTTGTTTGATTGATTGATTGATTGATTGATTGATTGATTGATTGATTGATTGATTGAAGACAGAAACAGATTACTGGGGTGAGAATGTAAGCAACTGTTTTTCCTCCAAATAGCCCTGGAAGTGAAGAAAACAACGTCAACCCCAGTCTAGCAGGAAATTAAAAGAGAAGGTTTCGCCACATGTGGGTTGAAATATCACTGCTATGGACCATACTCCTGCACAGATGCTAAAAGACTGAATCTCCACAGTAACTTTGTGGAATACAGGGAGATTTTTAAAATCCGGCCAATTATCTTTCATTTCTTAAAAAGAGAAAAGAATAAAGAAAAACTATCTAAATCTGCAGTGTGGAGCTGATCCCCCAACCAGACCAGTCTGTTCTAACTGCTCTCAAGAAAAGTTTATCAGCTCTAGCTATGGGCATGCGCCTGTATATGGGTGTGCTGAGTGTTTTTGTTTGTTCTGAAATGATTTCTTATTCCTCATACCTCTTAATGTGAGGCTAATACAAAATAGGATTTTGCCCTTTCTTGTCATAAAGCAACAATCCAGCTCATGCAGATGTTTTAAATGAAGGACAGTCAAATTAATTGTCATACAGGCTGTTCCCAGATCAAAGACAGTATCACCACCTTATTTTCTAGAAACACTGTTGGAAGGAAATCCACACCACATATTTATGGGGTATCAGAAAGCAAAGTGAACTTCTCATAGTTGTAGCAGCTGACAGGTGAGCTCTCTCAGCATCACCTGGGCTGAGCATCGCAGACACCAAGAAGGAAGACAAGGAAATAGGACAGCTCCAGGACAACTGATCCCCTCGAGTGGTGGAGCATGGGGCACAGGGGAAACCCACCCCCTTGCAGTTTTATTCTGTTTTTCAATGAAAACACCCCACTGTCTCTTAACAGAACCTTTGGGTGTTTCTATTGCCAACTCTTCAATTTAGTCATTTATTATGCTCTGTTGGACTGGAGAATGTAAGGGACCGGAAAAGGAATAGGCCAGAACTGTTCTCCAAACAGGTGAACAAACGCCTCTCAGAGACCAGAGCCGGTAGCTATCTGGGGGAGGTTGTTGAGAGCCAAAACTGGCCTAGCATTTAGAATTTGTAATTTTGATTGAAGGTTTTTTTTTAAAGAAAAACTAAAGAGAATACTAATGTAGACATGAGAGTAGAGTTGGCAGGCTTCTCAACCCAGTGCTCACAAGTCTGTCAGGAATTTTGACCTGAGAACTTCATTTTCTATTGGGTACCAAATGAGATGGGGGTATTCCAAAGAATTCCCCTAACCAAAAAGAATAATGACACTGTTATGACTCTAAGCAGTTCAATTGTGAAATTAGTAGCCAATTCTATGTCTAAAAAAGGAGGATTTGGTGACTAGCTCACTGGCTTTCGAAGATTTTGATTTAGATGGAAGTTAAAAGGGGGGTGCAGCTCAGAGCTAAGAGCTGTGTTTTGACACTGGCATTTCCTTGGTTTCAAGTCATTTTGGACTTTAGTTCTCTCCTCTTCATGTGTAGTCTCCTTATTTTTCCAAGCCCCTTAAGGGTTCTTCTCTGCTGTTATCTCAGAGGAAAATTAGTGATTTTTTTAAAATTTGCCCTAAGTTGGCTATTTGATTTTTGGCAGTATTTTAAGAGTGGTGGTGATTCGGGTGTGTGGTAATGTTTTCCAGAATGAATGGCAACAGCTTGTTCTCTGTGGGTTGGAAGGAGGTTGTCACGGGTATTTGTTTTCGTATTTCATACAAATCAAAGTTGCTCTCCTCTCTTGCTCATCTCTCCTCTCTTTAATTTGATTCTAATGTCTTCTATAAAGAAAACATGTTTTTTTTTTCAAAACCAGTGTAAGTAAACGTGGAGAAATTTAGGGAGAGTTTTGCTAATCTCGACCGAAAATGTCAAATGTAAATGAAGGTTGCAGATAAGTCTAGCCCTTCCTTGAAGAAAGCGGCTCCTGCTTGGAAAACCGGATAATTTTATAGTTCTTGGCAGAGAGGAGAAAGATGTTTGTTGCGATGGAAAAATCAAACTGGTTTCTTGTGAAGTCGTTCAGTATCTTAGATTCCAAGTACATACTCAAGTGTTACACGCAGTGTGGATCCTGGTCTTTAAAAAAAAATTCTTATTTGTCCTTGAATTTGTTTTTATTCGAATTTGCATGCACTATCTATATGACCTCAGGATTCCAGGAAACTCCAGAGAACAACTACAAACACAAGCTGGATTCCCACGACCTTTAGATGACCGTGAAACCCCCAAAGAAAACTTGCGCAGAGAAGAAAATGGAATCTCCCTCCTCAGACCTATATCTGGTCGATAGTCTAAGTCGTAGAAGCAGATCTGGCCGGGAGAAAAGGCCACCCTTGCTGCCCACGAAGCAAACTGCCTGTAGCCAGGGGACATAGAGAAAGACGGCCCCTGTGGACAGCCTAGCACCCCGACTTACCCAGGGGTTTGATGGTGTTTTCTGCCGCCTCCTTCTCCTTGGGGCCACCGCTGGACATAAGCGCGGCGATGGAGAAGGCATTGGCTCGAGAAGAGAGCTGGGGCTTTGGTGACGCCGTGAACTCCATGGTCCCCAGCGTGCTCTCCTGGTTAGGGACCGGGCCTGCCAAACCGCAGTCCAGCTTCTCCCAAGAGGGACAAAAACCCGAAACGCAGCTCAAAGTTCCCGAGTGCAGTCAGAGCGGAACTGAGGACTCTCGAAGGGTCCGGTCCCACGTCCCCAGAGCTCCACGCTGACCTCTCCAATCCACTAGAGCAAAGACCAGGAGCCTCAGAGACTTCGAACTAGCGGGAAAGCAGGGTGGGGACCAGGCGCGAACTCAAACTGTGTGCAAGCCGCGGGGCACACCAGACATCAGTTGAACAAAATGCGGGATGCACCCAAGCCGAGTTCCCCCTCCCTCCCCTGCTGACTGGGGAGTGGCCCGGGCCACCGGGAGGTGACGACCCGCTGTGGGACTCTCGAGAGTGCGGAAACCGGGGAGCCCGACCGCAGCTTTTCAGAGCGCAGCAAGGCGCGACCTACACTGCGCCTGGGCTCCCGCGGCCCCGCGCCTTAATTTGCTGGTGGCGGCCGTCCCTGCCTGCAGCAGCCAGTCAGAGTGGTCTCACGTCACCGCTTCCTGGCTGTGTGGCGTGGGGCGGGGCCAAGCGACGCCTGCGAGGAGTGTTTGGGGCGCGTCGCCCTCCAGCCTCAGCGCTCTGGAAGGAGAACTGGGCACCCCTCACAGTAAATAGTGCCACCATCAGGGTGACGCAGCTGCCTCTGTCACCTCGGGCTGGAGTCTCAGCTCCCGCGGGAGGGCGGCTCGCGGTGTCTGGAGCTGCACTTTCACCGCCGCCCAGAAGATCTAGTGATGCGCGCGGAGCGCAGGATCCGACGCCACCAGAGGAAGCCCCTCCGAGTTCAGCTATTTCCACTCTTGCCTACTAGCGTTTAAAAGTTCCCAAATAGCTGAGAAGAGGAGAGAACATTTCGCATCGCTGAGTGGCATTAACCCGGTTAACGCCGCACAGTCCCCAGGGCTAGGTTCCCTCCCTACTTGACGGTCCCCCAAGTCACACCTACTTTCTCAGAGAGCTGGAGAGGTACATCCCTGGGAAAGAAAAGCTGAGATGCAGGGATCGTGTAGAAAGAATACTTTATGGCGAAGCTGGGCTTTTGCGGCGCACTGGTTGCTCCTGGGCTGATTATTTTACTCAGAAGAGGGACTCTGAAAGTAGGGCAGTGGCCCGAAGCAAAACCAGGGCAGGGCAAGGAGCCCTGCGGGGACCACGCGACGCTCGGTGGGAAAGTGTGACCTTTCCATCGTTCTGGCTTTGGGGGGTGCGGGGACGGGGACACTGAACTATCTGCCTAGCAGACCCGGCTAGGGCCAGGACTTCCCATGGCCTTGTGTAGGGAGTTCTGTTGGCCTTGCTCAGTCTAAATAACTCAAATTCTCCAAATTCGCAGGGTAATCCGCTTCGCTAGCACTCCTGTAAACTGTAGAGGACACACACACTCTCAGGCTCTGCTTGTAAATGTTTGCTCTCCTTTCCAGCCAGTTGGTCTGGCGATTAGGAACCTCTTTGGTAGGTCTTAAAGTGGGGGAAGAGAAAGAACAGGACACACACACACACACACACACACACACACACTCTCACACACAATCTTCTGCCTCCCACTGCATCCTCTTCACAGCTTCTGAAACAAAGCCATAGAGAAAAGAAAATGCCAACATAACTATAAGAGCATCCGGTGTAAACAACATGTTGGCATCTGAGGAAGTTCTCTTTTAGGCTGGCCTGGTCATTCTAACATCTCTGTCCACACGGAAAGTGTCAAAGTTGGGGAAATTTGAAATTAGTAAAAGGACAGAGTTTTCAGGCTAGGTGTTTGTTTATTCCTTGTCTGTGCTATGCCTCACTTTTAAAAGATCGAAGGTGACAAGTTGGCAGTGCAGCATCTCTTCCCCCAGGCCACCTCCCAGCTAGAAAGGGTCTGAAGATCCAGAGGCACACTCCAGTCCAGGTTCTCTTCAGACCCAGACTCTGCAGCTCTGGCTATGGAGGAGTTCATAACAGGACTAAGGCCAGGTGGCAGCAGGCTTTGGAGATAGATCTCCCTGCATACAACACATTTTACATTTTTATTATTTACTCATGTGTTTGTATGTATGTGCCTGAGTACCACGTGCATGCAAGTGGAAGCCAGAAGAGAGTTATCAGATGCCCTGGAACTGGAATTACACCCTCCATATGGGGGCAGGGGGTGAACTCTTCCAGCCCCTCTAGAAGAACAGCATATGCTTTAGATTGCTGAGCCATCTCTCCCGGTCTTATATAAATTATCCTAATCAAGGTAACATTTTCTTTTTATTGTAAGGTTCACATTGTCTTGCTTCTTGTCTGAATTTTTAGGGTTTGTCAAGGAAGATGGATTTTTTTTTTCAAGAAGCGAGGTTTTTATTTGGGAGAGAAAGAGGTTACTATAGACTTTGATATAATGCTTCAACTAATGCTGCAGGTTTTGTTTGCTGTATCTAGTTTTTAATAACTTGTATCATTATATCTCAATTGAGAAAACTTCCTATTTTATCTTATATAAGGGGAGGCACTATCTTTTATTACCTTAATGACTTAGCTTATAGTTGGAATGGCTGGCACCCCCGGAGATGGATATGTTTCACAGAAACTGACGGAGCACAGGAAAGCCGAATTGTTGTTGAGCAACAATTGCTCAACAATTGAGCTTTGTTGCCATTCTTACAGACCCCACCTTAGCCCTGTTCTGGGACTTTTGTGGGCAGGAAATCATGCAAAATCAGGAGAGGTTGAGCGAGTGGGAGGAGAGAGCAAACTAGAGGAACCAGAGGAATTGAAATAAACACTTAAACAAATCCAGGAGCCGGAGTCACTTGGGTGTCCCTTAGCCATGCATCTCGTCGGTGTTGAAACCATCACCACAGCAAACAATGCTGCAGGCATACTGTCCTGGTAAACTGTTCCTCCTCGGAATTCAGTGCCTTTGCAAACCAATGTGTTGCTATAAGATGGGGAACCGGTGCTAGCGGAAAGTTGCAGCCGTGGGGTAATTCAAACCTTCCACCTGGGAGCCAAGAGGAACTGGTTCTGAGGTCCCTTCAAAACCCTCTGGGAGCAAGGGTTAACACGTAAAACCACCCACGGAGCTAGAACAAAGCAATCACATTAACACTTCCCGCGACCCTGCCCAGGCTGCTGACAGGCTGTGTGTTCAGGCTCCTTTCAGATACTGGAGAAGGCACTGGACTTGAAGAAAGCTTTGAGTCTTGTTTTAACATGTGTTTGTGCTGGCGTCTTGAAGGTTTCCTAAACTATTCGAAGCCTCCGTGTCATCGTTTACCTTACAGTGGGACTAATACTCCTTTCGCTCTGTGAGTTAATAAAATCCGCAGTGAGTGCAAAACACCCAACGATAAGTAACATCGATTCTTACTCCGCATAAGCAAAACAACGCATTTTAATTATTTGATTTTGAGCTGCATACTCTTAATCGCAGAGACATCAGATAGTTCTGTAATTTACGCAGAAGATTGGGACCACATAAAGGTGCTGGGATTACCACAGACATTTAAGCTTCAGAACTGAAGCTTAAGATTTTGATATTACCTAGAAGGACGGGCCAATGCCCTCTAATGTAAGATATGCATTTTAGAAAATTCTGTTTTGTAACTCCTCGGAACTCAGAAGCAAAACTGTCCAGGGACTGATTGGCCACCCGCATTCTGCCAAGGTCCCCGACTTAACGAATGCTCCCTGAACGTTTTGCCGGAAGCTGCTGGGGCAGATGCCACACAGGTCTAGCTGACAGTTCCCAGGGACTGAGGACAAGAGCTGAGCCCGGGCGTTGGACCAGGTACCAAGCAGAGGTACTAAGCAACTGGGGTTGGGAGGCAGAAGCCAAGGGCAAGAGGGACATCCTTTCTCAGCAAACAGGCAACTATTTCCGAAAATGGCCCGAAGTCTTGTCCTGATCTTCCTTCCAGTTCTGCCGGGTAGAATCTATAAAAACGACAGTCAAAGACCACCGCGCCTTTAGATCAATAAATTTGGTTTACAGAGGAGGAAAGCCGCCTCGAACAGTGCGGGGAGCTAGGCGACCACAGTCCTAAAAGGCCTTTGAGGCTCGTTCCCTGCGGTGCAGAGCTTTGCGCCGCTAGCACTGGGTAGGCAACACTCTGCAGCTGGCTAGGAGAGGTCTTAGCCTGTGCTGCGGGGGCCTGGGTTGGTGCCCAAGCACAAGGTCAGCCTTATGTATTCTCGAACTCTTGCGTGGTTCGCAAGAAGCAAGAGCGTGGGTCCCAGTTCAAACCGCAGGATGTGGCTCTAAACATTCAGACCTTCGGGGGACTCTGGTTGGCGACTTCGTCCAGTTCCCTGTGTAAGGCCAAGCAGAGTCACTCTGTGCTAGGAGGCTCAGTGAGCGCGCTATTCACCTGGGAAGTCACGTTCCTGCTCAGCATAGACTGGGAGGAGATTGATGTGGCGTCCAAGGCCCACGTGATCTAGAGATAAGGGACCTGAGGCTGAACAGCGGCGACGACATTTATTTCTTCAGCTGCGGGTTTGAGGAGGCCAGCAGCTGAGGAGGGCGCAGCCTACACGGTCACGCATGTCCTGAGACCTCGAAGGCTCCTGCACTCCTCTCCTTTTTCTAGGAAGTGCAGCCTCTTTGGCCCCCAAACCATCCAAATACTGGCAGGTGCTATTTAAAATTAAAATTTCAAACTTTTCGCGTTTTTAAAGCCTCATCAAACTATTTGCTTGTTTGCTGATATTTGAGGCACTTCTAAATTTGGGGGTCTCACCTGGTCCCAGGCTTGTCAGGAAGGTTAAGAATTTCATCGAAATGAAGCTGAGAATAGCAAGTGGATCCAGCACTCAACACAAATGTGCAGTTTGGAAGAGTGGTACCTGTAATTCAGCATTCACTCTTAGAGTCACCCTCTCAGCTGCTGGTGGGAACAGGCACAAGCTGCTTCTTCATGGGCCTTCGGTAAAGATCCGATGGACAAATTCTCTAGCTATACGGAAGGACTTGGGCTAGGGCCTGTGTACATGGTTGTCTTGACAACTGGCCAAAGGGTCTTTCCAAAGCTGCGGTTTCTTAGGCGTTTGAAACTAAAGTTTTAAGTACATCTAGAACAGCAGCCACCGCTGCCTTCCTGCGCCCTTTCCTGGTCGGTCGACTGGGGCCAGTTTGGAAGACGTAACCAAGTTAAACTCAAAGCAATTCTGGATGTTTCAGATAGTTCCTTTTGCCTCCACAATTGTGCACTGGCCCTTCTGGTGACTGCAGGAGCTGCTCCCACGTTTTTCACTTTGCATTCTGCTTAACTGCAATAGATCCACATCTTTATCAGAAAGTTAGGGATGTTACAGTGGCAGGAACTAGCCTCCAAGTTCTCTTCCACTAACCTTAGCAAGACACAGGGAAAGTCAGTATTTGACTGCACCCTCCCCACACGCCCTGCTACAGCAGCTGACAAAAC